GAATACACAATCCAGTGGCATACGAAGGGCATCAGTGATTTAGTGGTTAGTGAATATGGAAGATATCTCCATGGAATTTCAATATTTTGTGTTTATCGTGATCCATCCGATTACACTGGTTTAACACGTATCCTGGTTTTTATCTCTATTGCCTCGTCGAAAGCATTATTATTCCATCATGCCAGTCATATGATCTCAATTACATTTTGATACCACACGGTTGTGCCACGCTGTGAAACACTGTCCCACTTTCTGTTTTCCACAACTTACAACTTTCCCTTCCTTTAACGCAGAATCAATAAACTGGATCTGAGGTAAATTCCCTCTACTCTCCCTGGTTATTCTGCTCCTCGAGTTTTATCCCTGGACTGAAGGAAAAAGACTTCTCTTTATTTTGAAGATCCCTTAAACTTTTGTCCCGCTATAGTGGCGTTGATAAAGTAGTTCTAGTTGATTTCTTTATTTCCAAGCATCTTGAAGCTTGTGATACATTCATTGACAGGATAACGCGTGATCAAGGGCACTGTCTGCACCAAGATATCGCGAAATCCCTGTCAATTCCCCGGACACACTCCAAATATCAACTCCTTCCTGCGCGGACTTCCACATACCGAAACAGTGTAATTCCATACCTAGATCGTTTAGTAGTAAATCGTCAGTATATCCTCACCCACCTCAGGGAAAAGCTCTTGCCCTAATTTTTTCTCATTTATTAAAGTGCGGAATTTCTTATACTGTATTTTTTGTTTACAATTATCTTACCTATCCACTGTAAATATCGTAAACTGCTGAAAATTCACCCTTTGGGTGCATAAAGCTTTTCTTGACTTGACTTGACTTTGGGGTATGCTTTTCATCCGTAGGGATCTCCCGTTTCACTGTAACTCACATCACGTGTGATGGAAAAACAGTGTCAGATTGTTCAAAAAGAAAACCGTGTTGCCCAAAAGGATATTTGGCCTATTCGCAAAAACGGGATCCAATCCGGTGAACTCACAAAAGATTCACTCACCGAAAACTTCGCCGTTGGGGAGGAATTCCATTGCTATGTACAACAGTCGGGGTGTTTCCATGACCTAGTAGGTGAAGGGGGTAAGTGTTTGAGAATAAGGCAAATAAGATTGAGAGAGCATACCTGGAACAACTTTACGATGTTTGGGTGGTGTAACTTCTTCAGAATTTCCGATTCGCGATAAATTTTGACCAAATTTTCCGCATCCAATCGTGTCTTGTCGATAATTTTTATGGCCAACTGGAAGAATACAGAGAGCACACAGAGAGAGAGAGAGAGAAAAAAAAAACGAAAATCATGAATACTTGTACCATTGTGGTGATGCATGTCTGTCTGGTCAGGTAGTAGTGTACATTCGTCAGAAACGACATGTATATCCTTCAATGTTACAAGGCCTAGTTCGTTGTTTACACACCTACCCACCCACACACCTGTGATGTACAGCACAAGCCAATTTCGTAAAGATCTATCTGTGCACAAGCGAACATTGAAAGGATTGACTCATTGGCATGAAAGTCTATTGTACGATTGAGAGAAAGTCAACAACCTAAGCCACGTGATCTGAATCGGTTAATCGCACAGCACCCAGAACATTTCCCGTGGGGATCGGTCACGCGATCGTAAAGCTGTTTCCTTTCTGTCACTCTGGACAGAGAGCTTAGTCAGCGAATCGCATATCAAAATTGAACGAGCATAAAACATTAGAGTTTGCTCTCACAAAATTGAAAACTATGGGTGTGTGCGTGTGCGTGCGAGGGCAAACTCACATTTATTCCAGTGATTGTGTGCGTAGCTAATTTGACCACGGAAAATATGCCCTTGCCAATAGTACGATCGATTAAATAAGTTCCAAGCTTCGGTTTATTTGCAGTTTGGGCGATATTGACGTTCGAGTTGTTTGTGGAATCGGCCGGACTGATACCGGCTGACTCGTCCATGGAAGACGAGGCGGTGGTGGTGGTCGTACTAGTGGTGGCTGTACTCGACGTTATGGTGGGAACTGTTTCGAAAAGATAGTCCACATTCATGGAATTCATTCGCCGACCGAAATCGGTAGGTTCACATTGGGTCATCATGGTGCACAGGGGACCGGAAACAAGGAGAGCAGTCGAATCAGCGAGGAACGGGGACGACCACTGTATCGGTACACGCTGGTGAACAAACTCTCCGTTGGGTGAATGGATGAAAATCTGTCTCTGGATGGTAGTTCAACTCATCATGTTGTGTCCACTTGATTTGCGAAACGCAACCCTAAGCAAAGAACGAGAAAAAATGTCAAGGTTTTACCGTGTGCTATCAAAATGTAATTGAGATCATATGACTGGCATGATGGAATAATAATGC